AAAGCTGTATTAATTAGGATAGGGGCTGTCGTACATGTGATTGCAGGCGGGTGTTCTGTCTACAGGGTAAGTTTGTCAGGTTTCATTGGCAGCCCCTCTCTTTTTGTTTTTAACCCTCCTTCCTTATTCCCAGTCCCTCATCACTCCTTTTGTTCTTCTTGGGATTGACATTATAATTTTATTCTAGGTGGACGCAGGAAAAATGACAGATTGAATGATTCAAGTTTTAGATGGATGTCGGAGCACACATGAATTAATCAATATTTTATAACCTAGGCAATGAAAGCTTCCTCTTCATAGAGTAAAGAGGACATTATGCTCCATGTGTGCGACTTAACCACTATTCATGCTAATGAGACTCATGCAGGCACGGCTCCTTTCTTGAGTTGATAACATGCTCCAGTGTACATCATTGTCAATTATGAATCAACTCGTAATCATCTTGGGAAACGGGGGAAGTAAATCCCACTGCTGAGCACAAGCACCTCATGGGGGGATTATTGGTCAGCATTAGGGTCTGAACTTGGAATATTAATTCCTTTTTATTCTGTCAAAGTTATTCTACTACTGTCAATTAAACCAAATATTCCCCCAGGAAATAAGCAAATGTGTGTGTGTGTGTGTGTGTGTGAGAGAGAGAGAGAGAGAGAGAGAGAGAGAGAGAGAGAGAGAGAGAGTAAATGGGCTGAGAAGGAGGTGGAGGTGAAGCTAAAGGAACATGGGGAGCCAATAGGAAGAATGTTTCTGTGTTTGGATTTTCAGAGTGCTAAAATGTACTCATATCCTTTTGCATTAATTTCCACATTTTCTGCATGTATAAGATTTATTTTGTGATATGTAATTCTGATCTGTTTTAGTTCTAAAACTAAACATTCATTGTTGAAAACTGTTTTCTTTCTTGGCTTGAGACTCAATAGTCAACAGATATTTATGAAATCTATGACATATCAGGGAGGGAATACTACAGAGATCATTAAGATAATTTTGCTATCCAAGAGCTGCTTGACTAATAGGAAGAGCATGTAAATGAATACAATTATCCCTTGGTATTTGTGGGAATGGTTCTATCCTGCAGATGGTGAACTCTGCAGATGCTCATGTTCCTTATGTAAATGACATAGTATTTTAGCATGTGTACATAATCTATGTCTACCTCCCTCATACTTTAAAAATTGACTCAAGATTATTTATCATATCCAGTATAATGTAAAGGTCAGTCAAATTTCTATCCTTTAATACTTAGTGAATAGTGATCATAAGGATAGCTATATTTTTCAGAGGAGATGCAATTTTTTTTCCTGGGCACTTTTGATTCATGGTTGATTTGGCCTGCGCTTGTGGAGCATGTATAAGACAGTAGGCTGACTGTACTTCACAATGTATGAGCAATTTAGCTCAGTGGAGCTCAAGGCTGATGGAAGGCAAGACCAGAGAGGAAGGGCAAGGTCATGCCAGAATTCCCACATCGCATGCTAAGGCCTAAATCTGGGTCCTCCATATCCACTGCCCTTTAAACATTTAAGTGCAGATATTTCTTTGGCGCTTGTCTGGTTTCTTTTCCTGTTGCTGAGTTACTCTGACAGCAGCAGCCTCAGAAAGGAAGGAAGGATTCGTCAGGGTCACAGCTTGATGGCACAGTCCAGCATGGTGAAGACAAGGCAGTGGAAGCTTGAAGTAGCTGGTCACCCCATCTTCACGGTTGGAAAGCAGGGAGTGATGAGTACTGGTGTCGCACTACTGTCCCCCTATCTACGCTGCCCAGGAAATGGTGCCACCCATTCATAGGATGTGTCTCCCACCCCAGTTAACTTAATCAACTTAACTCCTCACTGTTACACACAGACACAGACTCCCAGGCGATTCCAGATCCTGTTAAGTTGATAAACAGCACCAGCCATCACGGTACTTCTGGTGTGATTTTGAAAATCATATGAGATTTTGCATAGGTTCCATAACATTGCATTTTTATTAAGAACAATGAACCTTCTTCGGGACTCTTCAAAACCACTCAGGTTCCAGGAACAGTAGCTATTGTGATAGCTGATCCTGATTGTTAACTTGAGGAAATCTGAAGGCAACCGAGAGACACGCCTGTGGGGGATGTGGGGAGGTAGTTCCGGGAAGGATTAACCGAGGAGGGAAGAACGTCGCTCAGAGTGGACAGCACCTTCCTGTGTGACCAGATACAGAGAAGTAACTCTGCTTTAATGGTTTTGCTGGTGAGTGCACTGACCGTTCAGTGCTGACAGAAACCAGCGTCTCTGACTGAAGACCAGTAGCTCTCCAGAAATCCTCCAATTCTTCAGCGCCAGATCGGGACTTCCCGGGGCATTCAGCCACCTGGACAGGGAAGTGGCTGGGTTCTCAGCTTTGTCAGCATGCAGACAGCCAGTTTCAGACAGCTCAGGCATATCATATGAGCCAATCTAAAAAAAAAAACCCTTTTGCAACATACATTCATTCTATTGAATCCGCTCCTCCAGGCAACCCTAACTAATACACCCATATTACATTTTTTTATTTGATTTTATTTTGTAGGAAAAGGTAACAATATAGAGCAACGACTACCTGAGGACACAACCAGGGTTCTCCATCCCTCAACAGTCTTAAGAACAAGAATAATTTGACCAGATTTTCAAACCAAACATTCTGACTTCTGAATGCAGCATAGATGCCAGGAGCCAGAGGCCAAAGGCTGGGAGGGAGATGGAACCAAACCATTGTTACTGTTTGGATAAAAGGTTATCAAAAACCTGATTCAAATTACTGATAGTAGGAACATTTTGAGATTAAACCAGGTAGAGTTTGTTTGGCTGAAGCCTCTAGCTTTCTGCACAGTCTGGAAAGCCCCATTCCTCTTCTCTCTCTCTCTCTCTCTCTCTCTCTCTCTCTCTCTCTCTCTCTCCTCCCTTCTTCCCTTCCTTTCTTCCTCCCTACATCCCTCCCTCCCTCTCCCTTCTCTCCAAAATCTGCCCATTCAGAGAGTCTCTGAAAGAAGGAAAGGTTCCTAAAAGCCCAGTTCCATATTCTTGGCAACTACCACAACTTCCTCCCCTGGTGCCACTGTCACTGAAGTCCTCGTCTAAGAGCTCAGTTTTTGAACATACTTAGGTACAAACCCAGTTTGTGGTGGACATGGTATCACCCCTCACCTACAACCTATAAAATCTCCCCACTTTCTTTCGGGTGTGAGACTTCTCTGGCCTCCATCTCTGGGACAGGAGAACCCACCCAGGAGTTGTTTTACTCAATATACCTGCTGCTATAAATTCCCAAGTTGGCTGGATCTGGCTTACTATGTTGGTGGAGAAACTTATTAGTAGGGGAGGAGAACAAAAAACCTACTAGAGTTGAACCAAAAAAATAATTATTTATACAAAATGGATCTGTTCCCAGCAAAAACATAAAGTTACAAAACAAGACTAAAAAGATAGCTCGGTCTTGAAGTGCTTAGGTTACAAGCATAACGGTCTGAGTTCAATGCCTAGAACTCACATTAAAAAAAAAAAATCCAGATGTGGGTTTGTAAAAATCTTGATGTGGGTTTTAATTCCAGTGCTAGTGAGGTAGAGACAGGAGGGTGCCTGAGACTTATTGGCCAGCCACTCTAGACTGATTGGTAAGCCCAGGTCTTTGTGAGGCTCAGAACATGAGGTGGATAGCTTCTGAGGAATCACACTTCCCTGCCCTCCACATACACACGCGGGGTGGGTAAGAGGAAATAACAAGTGGATGATACGAGAGATGGCACCGCTGTTGAAGACTGTTACCTCTGACTGCAAAGAGCTCAGATGAGAGCACAAGAAGGTAAAAAACAAAAGCAAAAACAAAAACAAAAACAAAAAAAACCAGTAAAGTGATTTTTCAAAGCGTATAAATGGTCTAAGGATCTTGAAATTTCACCCAAACTTAAAATCAGAAATAAAAGAACAGGAACTATTTTTCATTATTTATTTAGGAAAGATCACATAATAGCAAAATCTGCGCATGAAATTTCCTTGTCAGTACTATTAACAGCCATCAAAACTTAAAACAATCTTCAGTGGGAGATGTGTTAAATAAACACAGTATATCACCACAATAGAGTATCACGCAACCCTTAAAAATGACTTTGTAGGGGCTTAGAGAGATGGGTCAACAGTTCAGCGTCTTTGTAGCTCTTGCAGAGGACTGGAGTTTAATTCTCTGCACCATGTGCTTTACTCCATGCTCTGGACTCTGAGGCCATGGAACATACCCACGTTCAGTTCATGCATGCATAATTTAAAAACATAAAGTAAGAACAGGTGGTGGTGCACGCCTTCAATCCCAGCACTTGGGAGGGGGAGGCAGAGACAGGAGGGACTCTGTTCAACGTCAGCCTGGTCTACAAAAGCTAGTTCCAGGACAGCCAGAGCTACACAGTGAAACCCTGTCTCGAAAAACCAAAACCAAAAATAAATAAATAAATAAATAAAATAATAAAATAATTTTAAAAAATTCCCATTGTAGATATACATTTATTGAAATAGATGTCAGTGACCCATTGTCTAAAAATAGATTACTGAATTTTGTGTGTATATATGTCTGCTTCAGTAAAATTACATGGATGTTCCAGAACATGTATGTCCTTAGACAGAGATATTCAGAAGGCTTAAATAAATTTTGAGAACAATTCTGGATCGAATTGGGGATGACTTTTCCATTTACTTACTCTGTATTTTCCAATTTTGTTTGGATTTCAAAACATTTTATTATTTGTAGAAATTTTCAAGTGAAGACTTCATTGCTTTAACAAGGCCGGGTGGGGAGAAAGGAATTCGTGACCAGCTTGTTTGTGAAAAGTGAAAAGGTGTTGGGAAGGAAGACCCTGAGTTCTCAACCCTGCATCCTACCGGCCACTTCCTGTCACATCCGGACCTCGCCCTTTGTACTCTTTCTGTGTCGCAAGTCACGCCAAATTCTGCCCGTCCTGACTTTGTCCTTACGTGCCCTGAAATAGTCCCTGAGTTGTTCAGACACCTCTGCGCTAGTGCTGCGGAGGAGGAAAGCGGAACAACCCCTCATAGCCTAAGATAAGTTCTTTCGTGTTTTGTTTGTTTTTTTTTTTTTTTTTTTTTTTTGAGACAGGGTTTCTGGGTGTAGCCCTGACTGTTCTGGAACTAGCTCTGTCGTTCAGACTGGCCTTGAGCTCACAGAGATCCACCTGCCTCTGCGGTGAAAGGCTCGCACCCACACCACCCAGCTGGTACGTTCTTTGTGTTCTTTTGTCGCTGGAAAACTTGCGACTTTTTTTTTTTAAATGCTGCGTTTTCTCTCCTGGAATTGTAACTATTTGCATATTAGACCTTCTCCTGTCTCGCTCCATGCGCTTTCTTGAATCCAGTTGCAGAAATTTCAGAAGAGAGACTCCACTGGGCAGGACGGGCACGAGCATTCCTACACAGGCAGAGTGTGACTTGCTGCCACCATGTACTGGAAGTCCCATTATGGCACCAGAGAGGGTGGGAGATGGATTCAAGACAGAATGGGTCTATCTTCCGGGCATTCCCAAGAGCCATGGGTCTTGTGGGTAGGGGAAGGATTTCCAGTGGAACACCGGACGGCAGGCATTCTTCTTGTTTGTTTAGACGTTTGGAGCTAGAGAAGGATGTGAGATAATGGGAGCCTCTGAAGTGGCACTGTTGACACAGTGTTTTCCCCTATTGCAGTTTTGCTCTGCAAACAAACTAATTCCCATTACACAAACAAGCCAGGCTAGTCAGACACAAGCATACACTTCTGCGTAGACGAAAAATTAGACACCACAGCTCTTCAGGGGACAAGGACTTGGAGGCAGGAGGAATATGGAAGCTAGGGATGTACCTGCTTCCTGTGGCTTCTCTGGGCCGCCACTCCCCAGCCACCATCTCAGCCTTGCTTGTCGTCATTGGAATCTTGGCCATTTGCGGCTGACTCATCTGAGCCTTTCAAGGGCCAGAGCGTTTCTTAGTATGCACTGAACTCGTGCCAAACTATTGTTTCCCACTACTATTGTGTACAAGACAACATGTACTAGAAATGTGAAACAGGAAGAGTCCATCTGATCTGATTATGGGAGAAGGAATTTTCCAGCGTCCACATGCTGATGTAATTATTTCAATAACGTCGCCCCCCCCAACCCCCACCACACGCCCCACTCCCACCCGGGTGCCAACAATTGTCTCTGCCTCCACAGGCATATCACATAGCTTTTTATTCCTTTTTTAGAAGAGCAGAACACTGTCGACTGTCAAACTGGAGTTTTATATTATATATTAATTAGGGGGAGTCGTTTTCATTGGCTTGGTTTGTGTGTATGAAGCATCCGCATTTGCATATGTTAGTTTGTATTTCCTTTGGAGTTCTTTGATTTATTTTACACTGGATTGTTTGTTCTCCATCCTCAGGGGCCACAATCACTCTTGTGTTTAAAGACTATGCTCCACACAATTTCCTTGGTGGCAAACGGTGTCGAGGAGGCAGGCTGTTTGATGGTTCCGTGTTCTTGCCGCTCTTACAGTGGCAGTTCTCAGGATAGCTAATCTCTTTTTATTTTGATCCCTTCTCACTGGTATCAACACAACACTTAAGAGTGAGTGAAAATTCTGTACTCAAGGAGGATAAGGATTAAACCAGAAGCTTAGATTGGGTCTAGGAGTAATAGAGAGGAAGAATGTCACACAAACCCATTGGGTTCTTTTGTTGTTGCTGTTCTTGTTAAAAAGTAAAAAGTCATCGAGTAAACTTGGCAAAAGATGCTGCGCTGTTGAGCACAGTGGAGTGTGGTACACTCTTCACAAGCACAGGGACTCTAGCATCCTTCAGTGTGGTACACTCTTCACAAGCACAGGGACCAGCATTTGTCAGTGTGGTACACTACAAGCACAGGGAATCCAGGAACCCTCAGTGTGGTACACTCTTTGCAAGCACAGGGAATCCCGCAACCTTCAGTGTGGTACACTCTTCACAAGCACAGGGAAGCAGGCAAATAAGTCCAATACAGTATGATCAAGTCTTTTCCCTTTTACTCATTTCTCCTAACAAGCTGGCTTCCAACTCACTATGTCTCAGAGGATCACCTTGAACTCTCGATTTTCCTGCATCCAGCTCCCAAAACCTGGTGCTCTAAGTGTGTCACCATGACCCATGTCTTTCTGTTGTATATAGCTCTTGTGTCTTATGGGCTCCAAGTCATCTCCCATACCAGTTGTTTGTTTTCTCTAGATTTACAGTCTGAAAATTCCTTTCTTTAATAAACTGTTACCACAGTGTTATTTCTAATGTCATTTAATGTCATTGTGAATTTCTTTGTAGAAGTTCTGGCACTCTATGTACAGAGTGAGTTGGGTTTTTTTTTGTTTTGTTTTGTTTAAAAAACTATTGTGAATAGAATTTATTTTTAAGTGAAAAATGAACAATAGTCAAGACAAAATGATTGCCTCTGGGCAGCATCTCATGCTTATGGGGAGAAAGGTTATCACGAATGAGCACAATTCTCCTATTTAATGTGTCTAATTTTTTATAAAGATTTTAACTGAAGACTTAATGCCAATTCTATGTATCTAAGTTCATTAAGTTGTAAAGACTTTGGGTCTGGCTAATTTTGGTGTGTGATCTCTCTATTTATTTGCAAGACCTTTAAAAAAAATAAAGATTACAACAATAAAAATATTTTAGCTAAATTTTGAAAACATTTTAACTGAATTTTAAACCTTTAAAAACTAAGACGTTTTGAATATTATGTTTTATGTAGAGGGGGTGTGGGTAGAGCAGTTTGAGGGAATCAGTTCTCCCTGTCCACCATACGGAACCTGGCATTAACTGATCTTTAGTAGGCAGCAGACAGTTTTACTCCCCGTGCCATTTCCCCAGCCCAGTCAAGCAATTAAATGAAGGCTTCATGATACTTTCTAGTTTCCTGCTTTTACTTAGAGTCATTTATATTGAAAACATGATCAATTTCAAAACCCAGCAGTCATTATTTTCTTAGAATTATCGTTCCCAAAAGAGTATTTAGGAAAGATCATTTCTGATGAACCTGGAATCATCGATCAGGATCTGTAGGACAAGAGACAACAGCAAATCTTGGTAGTTGTCGGGCATTGTGTGTGTGTGTGTGTGTGTGTGTGTGTGTGTGCGCGCACGTGCGTGTGTGTGTGAGTGTATTGTGTATATGGAGCCCACTACTCAAATAAGGGCACAGCCTAGAGGTTGCTGAGCCAGACTCCTGGAAATTACAATCTGAATGCCATGTGACAATAGTTTCCTTGACCCGCCTCTCTGCCACCAAGCAGATAAGGCAACTCAGGGAAGGCTTTCCTCACATCAGCCAAAGCCAGAGACTAGTTTCTGTCTGTGGAGCCCAAGCACCTTCTAGAATCTGTAGGAAAGACCCTGTTCTTGCTCCCCCACCCTACATAGGGCCAGCAGCAGGCCTAAGGAGCAACACGTAAGAATTGGGTTCCAGCCAAGCTTTGCTTATGTCTTTCCATGACCAAAATTAATAAGGTAAAAGGAGAGAAATTCAATTCGTTTATTGTTTTATCTGTGTGGCCCCAAGTAGCCTACATGTATATTTTGAAAATATTTTTTGTCTGTTTCACTACGTATTTTGAAATGCATTGAAGTTTAAGTCCTTATTATATAAGTAACTAGAAAAAAATGCTTTGTATGGGAAACAATTATGTTTTTCAAGAACAGCCATTTCAGGAGTGAGGTCAGCTGGGATCCTGTTTTAGGAAGGAGGGGTGGGTGTGGGGTGTGAGCGAGGGGAAGTCCTATGTCAGAGGGCTCTGCACACGCGGTCTTCCAGGGCCTCTCTTGCCTGGGCTGTGATCTGTTATTTCAGTCTGTCCTAATAGCTTCATTTTGTTTCCTCACACGAATTTACACCCTTGACAAAACAGCCATGGTGGACACTTGTTTTCAGGAGTCCTCTCCCCGCTCTGACCCAAGTCTAGTACTTAAGTTTCATTGTTTTCCAAAGACGTCAAAGACTACTTTTAGGCTATTTTTAAAAGAGAAGTGCTGTTTTTGAAGGTCCCTAGGTGGAGAAACGACACCAGTCACTCCAATGTTCCCCCACCTGAATATGCAAATGTGGACTGTAATACAGAATAAAACTAAAAGTCAGTGGTCCTGTGTATCCCTTTGCCTCATGTTGAAAGTTCTGGTTCTGTTAAAACATGTCTGGTAACAGACACTTTAGTTCCAAGGTGTGCCTTCACCAGATCTGTCGACTGGCCTGGCTGTCACTTATTTAACCATTTATCTACTTCCAAATTATTAATAACCAAGTGTAACTACTATGAGAAAGAAGACTTAGGATTAATGAACCCCTTTTAAAAACTAAAACAAATATTTGTTCAGATTAAAAAAATCATACCTTGTTTCCCGGCTCTTAGATTAATCAGTCACCACCAATTATTCTAGCATTTATACTACTAAAATAATAGATATGACATTAAACAGCACTGAAGTGGGTATTAATCAGCCAGGAAACCTAATCTTGTGTGAATGAGTAAAATGAAGGAGGACAAAAATAGGTTTCAGGCAAAGATTTGGCTGAGATAAAATGGCCATTATCGAAACAAGAGTTCATCAGGTTGTGAGCTAAGAAAAAGAAGTGGGTCACAGGCAAGCTACAACAGGGAGGAAGAGCTGCCAGGCTTTGGTGGCTGGTTTAGTGTCAGAAGCAAGACAAAACAGAACATTACAATGTGAATACAGAAGGAGGCACTGTCTGGGGAGCTGGAAGAAAACCAGCAGAAGAACAAGAGATGGGGAAAGGCAATTGGGGAGGATGAGTTAGGACAACGCATAACGATGAAAATAGCACAGCAAAAGTTTTTCTGTGTTAAAGTTAAAATCTTCCTTTTTATTTAAACAGAAAGAGGGAGGTGATGTGGGATTCCCCTCTGTATTCTGGGAATACCACTGGTTAATAAGCTGTTTTGGGCCTGTGATAATGATAGAGCAGAGCTAAACGGGGGGGGGGGGGCACTAAACTGAATGCTGGGAGAAAGGAGGTGGAGTCAGAGAGAAGCTATGTAGCCCCGCTGAAGACAGAAGGTAGAGCAGAAGGTGGAAGAAGGCCATGAACCTCATGGTGAAATATAAAATACTGGAAATGGAAATGGGTTAATACTAGATGTAAGAGCTAACTAGCAATACACTTGAGTGATTGGTCAAGCAGTGATTTAAATAATATAGTTTCTGTATGATTAT